TTATTATTCTCATTATCACAAATATGACGATTATAATTTCGTCTATTATCACGTCCACATCCAGTGATACCTTCACGGTAATAATTTGTCTTCTTTCAGACTTATCACATATTGTTATCACATTCTCTTAAGGAGAATGAGAATGAAGCAAATTCTACGGGACGAGTTTCCACTTCTTTGCCCACAATCATACATGAATTTGATCTTGGCAAGACATAGAAATTTTACCATTTTGGTGGTTATAATCTCTTGCAAACACTATAGGAGTTATAATCAAAGTTTATTATCTTTGCTTGCATTTTAAAATCAAATATAGAATTTCAAGAATTTAAAAGAGAAAAATAAAGTAAAATACTTACCTTAAATCCAGAATTTAATCATGAAGAAAGTTCATGGAGAATTGACAATCATTGTGCTCAATCTCAAAGCTTCTACTCAATTGATTAGAGTCTCGTGCTGATAACGTGTTATGAAACAATAAAAGAACAAGAACAATATTGCAGAGAAAGAGAGAGAAGGAATTCTTATTGAATTGGGATGATTTACAATGGAATAAAACCCCTCTATTTATAGGGGAAAAGTAACTTAACCACCAAGTAACAAACCCTAGAATCTTTCTAGAATATAGACATTCACCATAAATAGAATTCTATTTATAACAATTAATATATAGATTAGACGAGCTATAAAAAGTGATGTTAATAAACATTTTTTTTAAAAACAAGCATAATAGGTAAAAGGAAAGGTGGTTTCAGTCACTTATTTCTTAGTACAAGAAATGGTTGTCAGTTCAGTGAGAACATAAAATAAGCTGATAACTTAAAATGAATACATTTCGGAACCAAAAGTTTTCAAGCGATAGACAATACTTGAGGTCCTTACATGATTTCCGAAAAAAACAAAAAGAAGAAATAAAAAAGTTTCTTGCATACATAAGCAAATATTAAATAAGTGATTTCGGTGAGATCAAACTTTCTGTATAAGCAATTCCATCGTGAACTCTAAAACATTAGGGCCAGAATCCAAATGGACCTGTGGATGTCCTCAGTGCAGTATGTGCAAATGTAATCATACGGTTTTGCTCCAAGGTGCATTTGCTAAAGTCTCAAATAAATATAGTAGCACTTCACCATTTGCAAATCTATATTTCAATTTGGCATATACAATATCGCTGAGTCGTATGGTAAATAATACAGTCCAAGATTCTTTGACACCATAGTCTTTCATTACCCACAACTTAAAAGTGCCCCATCCTTGATGTTTATGAGTAGAAGAAACGCAAACCATTTCTTCCACTAATGAAAGGCCATAATTAGACAACACATCTTCATTAGTTATGTGTATTTGCTCTAGCAAAGGTATCTCTCCATACACCTCATTTGAAGAACTAAATGAAGCCAAATGATAAGTTCTTGATATTGTTTTACCGAGCCAATGAAATGCTCCATGAACAAATACCATAGTATCCACACACAGACCGCAATTTTGGCAAGGATATATCACATTTTTCTGTCCCAACCTAGGGCAAATGGCAGTTGGATAGTAACAAATTTTTCTCCAAGAACCACTTTTTAGCGAGAGAATTTCAACAAATGGTTGATCAACTCGATGCACATCCAACTTAAGGATCTTGTACCCATCACTCATTGCGTCATATCCCAATCCAAACATAGTACGCAGTCGTGTAAATTCTAAATGGGGAAGAAGTGTCGACTCTCTTGTGGAGGGGTTCCACAAAAAAAGTTGATCAAATTTACTAACAAATCCGAGAACAGCCAACCCACTTAAACAACAAAATAAGTGGCACTCAAATGGTTTGTAGGTTGAAGGGAAATCGAGTTCTTGTACATACTTTGAAAGACAACCGAATTCTTGTATATTCGATAAAGGAGAAACATAGAAGCTAAACTTGATGGTACGTTCCATATCACCCCTATCAAGCGATGACTGGCAAACAAGAAGTTTGTGGTTATTCTTGGCATGATTGAGATGCTTCATCTTAAAGTAAGGATCAGAGATTAATGCCTGCCAAGATTTTGAAACACATTTGAACTGAAGAAGAGACTTCACGGGTAACCTGATGAGGATTTCCATAATTATATCGTCTTGGAATTGAATTCCAGTGGCCTAGATAGGACAAGGCAAGTGCTTTAGTATAGTTCAAGGTCTTTAGGGCAACAAGAACAAATATTAAAGAAAGAAAGGTACAGAAACTATCTTAGAGTGAAATCAGAACTAACATGATGATCAACAATATCCATCTGCTTTGACGGCTTTACAACTCTCTTCCCTGTAATTAATTAAAAAAATGTGGTCAGCCCCATTCATGTAGACCTGAGGCAAAAAAAATCCTGGTTGGCTCAAACCACCCTTGTTAAAAAAAAAAAAAAGAAAGAGAGAAACAGATACCATTACGAGTTCGTACTGATTTCTTCTTCTGTTGGCATCTGAGAAGATTTGCCATTATTGTCATATTTGGAGTTTCCCTATTGAAAAGATTAGCCTTTTTTGTCATCTTTGAAGCTTCTCTATTTGCGCTATGGCTTCTCTTCTTCTCCTATTGATTTGATTCAAAAGGAATTCAACTCCCCTCCATTTTCTATTGTCTCCATCTCTCCAAGTTCCTACTTGGATGGATTGTGAAAAAAAATAAAGTTAATTTTTTGGAATAATATAGAATTCTCTAAAATGTCCTAGTTTAGTATACTTGATATTTATCTAGTGGACATATCTAGATGTTCTAGAATGTT